CCTGACAATCCTAAAAGAAATGGAGCCCCTGCCCTGTTGTAGCATCCTCTGAGACCTCCTTCCTGCTTTGCACTGGGCAGGAAACAAACAGGGTTTTGTGAGCAGGACCAGCCACAGTGGGGCTGCTCCCAGGGCTGGTCTGTGTGCCTGTGGCTTTCCTCCCAGCCCGGGGCCCAGGGGGTGGGTGCAGGTGGCTGGCTGGTTGAAATTGCAGCTGGCACAGCCCAGGGAGGGCTGTGGGGACACAGCTGGAGGGAGATGACAGCTCATCACCTTGCCCTTGGTGCCATCAAGGCCCTGTTCCTATAGTGGATGGTCTCAGCAGAGAAGGTAACTGGGTATCACCCAAGTCCAGACTGCTGTGGAAGTGAGAAACTCACTGTTCCTTCAGATGTGCCCTTTTGGGCTGTGCAGGGGAATTTTGGGACATGGCTGAAGGATGCATGGCTGCAGCAGGAACCAAGAAGCTGAGCAAGGCATAGGGTGTTCCAGTGCTGGCCAAAGAGCTGCTGGGGCATACACCAGGCTGCCTGTTGCCCCTTCTCTATAAAGGGCCTGTGTGTGTAACCAAGATAGCTGCCTATGAGTAAAAAAAAAAAAAAGAAGAATTAAAATCCTTTCTGTCTGAAGACAGATTTGATGAGTGTAAGATGGGGAAGAAGGGTCCCACTGCTCTTTATTCCCTCCCACTCCTTCAGAAATGAGAGGGTGAAAGCCTCAGGCAAGGCGAGTTCCTGTGACTCTGAGGAGATGGGGGTCAGCATGAGCAGCCAGCTGCCCTGCTCAGCCCAGCCAACAGCCAGGTCTCCAGAAGATGTGCTGGAGGGTTGGTCTGGGGAAGGGTGGTGAGGCAATGAGTGTGGTGAAGTACACACTTCTAGAAGGCACCAAAAACACCCATTCAAAATCAGCTGTCTCTTAACCCCCCATCTGATTCAGTATTCTCCATACCAGAGCCCCATGTGCCATGGAAAGATCTCAAGCTCCTGAGGGAGGCTGTTGGCCCCTGTCAGCACCATGCACCCTTCACATACTGTGGAGTGTTCCTGCAGCAGCAGCTTCTTACCAGCAAGTGTAAAAGAAGGAGTAAAAAGTGGACTAATGAGAAAGGGTAATAACACACTGAGCAGCAGTGGGAGTGGAGCCACAAGTGCTGTGCCACTCGGGATGGTTGGTGCCTCCAGGAGCTCCTGTGTAAGCAGTTCCTGCAGCACCCTGTAAATCCCCAGCTGACCTTGCTGGAGCCCTGACCCCCAGGACAGGCTGCTCCAGGGAATGCTTCAGTGAGGGTGCTGGGCTGTGTTCTGCCCTCAGAGAAGAATTTTAGGCATCAGGTAAGAAGGCAGGAGTGCTTAGCCTTATATCCCACTGCTCTGCTGAGGTCCTGCTGGGCTGACCTAGTGCTTCATAAGCATTTCTTACACTTTAGGTTTTCAGCTGAAACACCCTCTGTGTCCCAGCTGATAGCTACTGGGGCATGGCACTATGAAATATTACTACAGCATACTTTGAATTCACAGAGATTTTGTAGAAAAAGCATTTGAGACTTCCCTTTTTTAGAATGAGAAGCACTGCTGTTCTGAGTATAATGGTGTGGCATCTTGTTTGGAATTTCCCTTGCTTTCTATATATACACATGCAGCAAAGCCACAGGAAATGGAAGTTTAAAAAAAAAGCATAGAGCATAGGTATCTGCTTCTTGAACAAATTTTATTCTTGTAGTTGGTTTTATTATTAGTGAGCATGTATCTTGAGGCATCATTTAAGGTTTATTTTAAAAGATGTGACATCCTAAATCATTGAAGCCTGAAGCAGACATGGACTTAGAAGTTGCACATTATTTGAGAAACCTTTTAGGCTCTGTACTGCCCATGCTACAGGAAAGACCATTATTGTTGATTGATCTTTTTTCCCTTGGGGCTTTTGGGGTAGGGACCAACTTCTGAGGCTTCTTGCATTTGTATTTTCTAAGATGCAGTGAGTCAGTGTTGCCTACAGCTGCTGTCGTGATTGTGTGCCACTTCTGCATGGCAACCAGCATGGTTATTAGTAAACAGTTTTTACTTTAAAATCCCAAGCAAAGTGCATTATAATTAGGTCCAGGAGATGTGAGAACATGCTTGCCAGCAGTTGGAGATTATACAGTCTGAAAATCTCATTGCTGGTGAAGTGAGACAGATCTTCAGGAGCTGAGTTGCCCTGGGTCTGGACTCAGGTTAGTTTGGAGAGCAAAACTGAGGAACACTCATTTGGCAAAGGAGAAATTTTAGGAGAAGGGACTAATCATGAAGGTAATTGGACAAATCCATCTTGGCAGCTTTTACTATGTTAAGACACATGCCTACAAGAAGAAGCAGTTGTCCTGCCTGCTCTCAGCCTCTGTGGAACTGCAGTGTTTCTGTCTGCCTTCTGTCTGGTAGTGGCATGCCACTCCAGTACAGGCAGGGCTTGCCTGAATGAGAGATCTACAGAAGCCTAAACAGGCATCAACTTTGCCTGAAAACAGAGTTCATTTCTCTTGGGTGCCTTTGTTACCAATACAGCAAATGAGGAACTGAGCCCCATCCATACAGTCAGACAGTTTTTCTCTATGATTTCAACAATCACTTGTGTAAGGATGTCTTTCTGCAGTTTTACAGATGATGTTTCAGTGAACAAGTGTACCAATGGATAATGAAAGTTCACAAAGTTTATGCTACTGAAGCTCCTTTCACTGCATGCAGTTACTTTCTTACTCATTATGCCTTTATTGCTTTCTTTTAGGAAAGAAGCTGAGTTGGTGCTGTAGTCTAGTTGAGGTGCTAGGGCATGGGTTGGACTTGATGATCTTAGAGGTCTCTTCCAACCTCATTATTCTGTGATTCTGTTGCTATTGAACCAAGCAAGACACTCTGGACAAACATCCAACAAGAAGAACACCAGTGTGAGGCCAGAAGGAACTTTTAATAATTTAAAGGGTTCAAAAATGCTGGAAACTCACAGGCACTTTCACTTCAGTTGGGATAATGGAGCTGACAGGCTTTATGCATTCTGGTCTATAAATTGAGAGATGTGACTGGTGAAGGTAGGGGCAGTTGCTGGGGATGCCTTGGTGTGAGGTGGGGGCAGGTAAAGATTGTGTCATGTTTTGTCAAGAGACCTACCAGTGAATTTGGTGTAAAAGTCAAAGCACTGCATAACAGACAACTTTTCTTAGGAGCAATAGTTTATGGCCCATCATCTGAAACAAATATTTGCAGGTAAGACAGTGGTAGTTCTTCATAGTGTAACATTTCTTGGTTAAGCCAGAACAAGAAATAGTCATGCTTTATACCAGCTGGGGGGAAAAAATCCCAAAAACCTCAGTGGAGGTGAAGTTAAACAGCTCTGAAGAAAGGCATTTTTGTACAGAAAACCAACAGATCTGTCCTAGATTTATGCCACAGGTAGTCAAATGCCAGTCGTCATTTATTGCACTTTTTGTTTCATGTGGTAGCTGTAATCTGGGCTTGATCTGTAACTTCACCTGTTTTTGTTTGTTGATCCAGTGTTGTCCTTGCTGGAGGTATATTCAAGTTTCCCAGCACTGAAGTGCTCTCCTTTTACAGGATTAGTGTGAAACTAACCTCTGCTTTGACTAGGGACTAGTTCACTGAATTTAAATCCACAAGAATAGGCATTATTCATTTTTTGTGTACTGCTTATTCTCCTAATTCCCGCATCTATTTCTTATTAGAAATTATTATTTCTTATTGTAGGTCAGTCTATCCAACTATACCCACAGAGATTAGCATAAAAGGAAATCTATCACAGACTTCAGGTTCTGATATATATTAAAGCAGTCATCATCTCAATGCAATTAAAAAAAGGTACTGCCAAGACCTAACTTACTTTACTGTTCTGTTTGTTTTTTAAAGTGTCTTGTGTGAATCAGTACAAAACTCAAGTCCCTGTTTTGCTGTATCAATCACTGGCATTATCATACTGATGAACGCTGAAGCTGTAAACCAGGCTTGTCTAATGAGAACAGTCAAAAAAGTAAGATTAGTTTATGCCACAGGAAGTTTAATCATGTTTCTCAGCTTATATTCTCTGGGCTACATCTGATCTCTAAGACCTTAAAAGGCAGTGTAAAACATTGTCACTAAAAAAACCCCAAAACTTTCTGCATGTTTGTGTTGGGAAGAGCAAACTGGTAGTGAATGACAATGTTGCAGTCAGTTGTAGATGAGATTAATAGTAACCATTGCTGCATGCAAGGGCCCAGGCACTGCTTTTGGTAATATCCCACCTAGGATAAGAGTGGCATAAACCATCATCTTCCTTTGGGGCTGCAACAGGATCCTGAAAAGGAAATATCCAGGAAAAAAAAAAAAAATCCATATTTCTTTTAAAGTGTGGAACAGGGCACAAAACAAAGCAGAAGACAGAAGTGTTATTACACAAAGTTTTCTTTAATTATGAAGTGCCGTGGTTGCACTAGGCCTTTACTTTCTGTTCCATCCTTAACTCTTGCTCTGACACAGTGAGAAAACTATTTCAGCTTCACCTGGAGCTAAGACTGCAAAAACCTGTGGCACTCTTATATTTGTACACTTAAATTGCTGATACTCCTTCTTAAAATAGTCCCCTGCTATCTGTTGAAGCTCTTTCAAGTGCAGAAAGGATAAGAAAAAATTCAGGTTAGCATTGACATAGTCACATGTGTGTGGCAGGGTAGGGGGTTAAATTTGTTCTTGTGCCTCTGAAATGTCAATCTTCCACTCAGAAATGAGGAGTGATTTTTTTTTCAACGTATTTGAAAATAGTCTGAGAAGCTGGTTATCACTAAAGTAATGAAATAACTCATGTGAAACCCTGACATTTAATTAGCCCTTAGTATAGTCGCTATTGCACATGTGAATATTTACACCAAAAGAGATTTTTGGACCCCTTTTGTAGTAAAGCAAATGCACAATCACTTTTATTATAAAAATAATCCTTAGGTCAAATAGGAATACAAACAATAATTACACAAATACACCTTTACAAATCTGTAAGATAGATACTTATGGCACAGATAATATAAATATCCCTGTACCTTGTTTCTGTGCAAAAAATGGCAGGCTAGTTTTAGTCAATAACCAGCCCTTTTATGTTTTCTTCACTTCCTCTGATTTCAGTTAAACAGAAGGATTTTCAGATCAGGTGTCTGAAAGTTCACCCTCAAGAGTCAAGAAAATACTGTCGCTTTTAATCCAGATAAAGCACAATAGGATTTTTCCTATCTTCTGCCAATATATTCCTTCCTGTTCTTCAGCCTACATTTTTTGGAAGAGGAGGAAAATTTCAAGTTCAGTAAGTTTTTTCACAAGCCATCAGACTGTGGTAGAGAATTAGATAAAGTCAAGCTGCACTCTGAAGCTAAACTACCACTGTAGGTTTCAGTTTAGTTTGTAGTAGAATCTCCATTACACTTGCCTTCCTTGTAGCTGTCAAAAATAATTCTTCAGGCAAACACTTTGCTTTCTCTTGAAGCCCTTCACACAGTCGAAGAGAAGGCAAAATCAAGCAAGAGGTAGGTATTGTTCATCCTCCTAATTCCCCAGAGCTCTCCATTTGAATTACTCTGTTTTAGGACTGTAGGAGATACATGTATAGAGCAAGTTTTATGTCTATAAAAGTAGTGATTGACTTACACCCTCACATCCTGTGGTCACTGACAACATTCAGCAACGTGCTTGAGGAATTCATCACTGTGTTCATCACTGAAAAACCTCATGCAATGAGGACATCTGAGTTCACCCTGTGCCCTGCCTTCAGATCCCAGGTTTCCATTGTCCCCAGGAGGAGAAGCTTGTTCAGACTGAGAGTTTGTTCTTCTCGTGCCTGTCTGGCCTGGGCTGTTGCCTCGTAGGTGTTCGACATTCGTCTGAACGTACAAATGATTTTGGTTACCAGCGTGAACTCTGAAATGACTACTTGTGTCTCTTGAGTCCTAGAAAGAGAAAGAAGAGCTTTTGAAAAAGATGCAACAAAAATACTTTTTTTTAATGGGTGGTATTTTTATCACCATGTCTGAAACACCACTCAAATATTTATCTGAGGAGTATAATAAATAAATTATTAATCAGTTTTTGCAGTGCTATTAATATTGTTGTAAAGAAGGTTTGTAGAAAACATAGAATACAGCCAGTGTGGTAATTTAAAGATGCCAAGAGTCATGGCTGTCCTCTGCCTTCTAAGAATTCATCCTGTCTATGTTGATCCAAAAGTAGAAGAAAAAGGGACAGGAAAGGGGTAGTACATCTGAACTCTGAAGCATCTCCACCAGAACTAACTATGAAACAATCTAAGTTTTTGATAGCTGTTGAAACTGTTTTGAGCTGAAACTGTTTTAGAAATACTAAGATTTTTTAAAATATATTTTATAGTATATTTTAGTCCCAAATCCTTTGACATGCTTAAATTAAAGAAGGAGCATGCTGCTTTCTTACCTGTCTTCTTGCTAGCTGGTGTTGCAGACATGCAACTTCTGCCTGAAGTTCTTGTATTTTACTCTGTGCTCGTTCTCTGTCTGATCTCTCAGATGTGAAATCGTCTTTATAAACCAGGACCTGAAAGAGAATGATTATGTTAATATTTTATACAGTAGAGTATTAGCAGGTTAGATTGAAAAGCTGAGACTATGATTCCTTTTTTACTTATTCCCAGCATCTCAGTATTATCTTCCCTATCGTATGTGTATTTATTTCAAAGGTGTTTGTATTTCTTTTACAGATCTTTCAGATTGTGTATTAAAGCCAGCAGAACTGCATGGGGTTCTTTAAGTAGTGAGTTTCCTTTAAATCTGTGTTGTTGAGTATCTGTATAGCCAAACGTGCACAGACAGGCAAATGTCCAAAAAGAAATTCCTTTTTCCCCATGGACTTCAGTAGTCTGGGAAGAAACTAAGAATTCCCATCTCTAGGAAAAAGAAACTTAATAACCTGTTGCTCCAGCATTTGTATGCGCTCTTTATCTCCTTCACTAGCCTTCTTCATGTCTTCCAGTTCTCTCTTGGTTTTTATGCACTCATTCATTTTTTCTTCCAGTAGTTTGTTTAACCGGAATATCTCCTTGTGCATCATGTCAGAATTCCTTGGTGCTGGAGCTCCTCCGTGGTGCTGCTCCAGCTGTGACTTCATCTCCTTCAGCTGCAAGTGGAGTCGCTTCACGTACTCATCCCTGCTCACATCGTACTTCTGCCATTTTGCATTTAAATCTTCCACCTGAAAGTTTATCCAGCAGAGGCATGAAGAACAGGGAGACACAAACTTCCAAAGCTCTCATAGGCTGTCTACAATAGCAGGATCAAAATTCTCTAGGGGATAATGTAACATGCTGACTCGACCCCTGAGGTGAGTAAGTCACTGTACAGGAGAGCAGGAGATGATTGTGCAGCCTCTTCATGGGCAGCCTTCCCATCTCCCAGTCCAAAGGGACAATATTAAATAATGTGGAAAGGGAAGGGTCTAATGGGCCTAGTGCTGTTCTTCTGGGGTGGAATATTGATCCATGGAAGAACCATGAAAATTTTCTTCTGCACTGCATTTTTAACAACAAAAATCCAGTATGTTAGAAATTATATAGTAAGTTGTTCTCAGCTAAGGGAACAAAAACTATGTGCTGTGTTGAAAGGACTAAGAAAAACTATCTTGCTTTGTAATTGGCATGTAATTAGATTAACCAGACCTTATCTATTTCAAATTTACTCTAATACAAAATACTTAACAAATATTAATCTGTAACAAAATGAAAGTACTCACATGAGCTACTTTTTGTTTTAACATCCTGTTTTCCTCTTGTAAGTTGCAGATAAGAGCTTGAAGTGAAGTTTCATTGTCTAAAAGCTGTAATTTTCAGATAAAGTTAGGTGTTACTTCAACATAAAAATCTCAGATGCTGTTTGGCTGTGCTGTTAACTGCAAGTAATCTTTTTTTATGTAATATGTAATGACATACATCTAGGTTTTTACAGCCTTGGTACTGCTATGAAATCGACCTCATGACAACAGCATTTAAGAGTCTACACAAATTCTTTACAATACTTATCTGGAGTGGGACAATACATGACAAAGGCACAGATATGCCTTCATCTTGCTTTGTTATTACTGTCAATTTTGGCCAGTACTAGGAAGAAATTACTGAGGGGAAAAAACCCTGCTTGCTAAATAATTGACTAAAATGATACCTTTTTTACAGCTGTGACATCTGCTTAAAAAAAACCCCGGTGTACGTGAGTAATATAGAACACTTTTGTGCAAAATTCCCTAGAATCAGCTAGTAATGGCATCTGAAATTTCTCCTCTTCAACAGGGAAGTCCCCACTGTACAAGGTTAGCTTCTTATTGCATATATCAAAGTCAATCAAGTTTCCTGTCTGTCAATTACACTTTAGATATGATAATGCCAAATCCTTCAAGTCCCTTAAAAATCCTTTTTTCTTCTATCTACTCAACCCATATTTCTTACAAGTAACTTTAATGTAAGTTTTCGTTGGAAACACTTTTGGGATGTTTGACAAAGCAGACATGAGTATGTACAGAGTTCATCACAACAGCACAGATGAGTGGTCATGTGGAAAACAGCATTACCACGATGTAGCAGTAAAAGCATAAGTCAGAATTATTCATTTTTGTGAGAACTGTCTGTAGCACCCTACTCACTGCTCTGATCTGTTACTAGAGGCAGCACTAATGTTATTTCCTTATGGCGTTTTAATGAATTACCTCATTTTAATGAATGTTTAATTAATGACTCTCAGCCATCAGGACTTCTGGAAAAACAGAACAATGATCTACCCTTATCCCATGCTGAGAACTTTAACTGAAGCCTCAACAGCCATTAGCAAAGTACACCAAAATCCAGGTGTTTCTTTGTGCCCTGCAGTAGCATTTCTGACACTGTGCTATTATGAAGCTTTTTTTTTAAAAACATGTCTCCTGAAGAGAAGCATTGCCCTGCACTCAGGAGGCCAGGGGGAATCCCAGAGCAAAAAAAAAAAAAAAAAAAAGGTAAGACACCTTGGCTCATATTCCACTAACCAACTTTCTATAGGTCTGTACTATGTGTGCAAAGCCAAATCCTGATCCAAGAAGACCATATGTTACAGAGTTCTTAATATAAATACTACTTTAAAATATCTCTACTTTGTTTTGTGATTTTGATACTTAAACAAGTTATCAGGAGAGATCAGCTTCAAAATCACAGCACCATCTAGTGCTGCACAGAAGCAGGGGTGGTATAAGGTAGGTACTATCTCCTGTGTATTGAGGGAAGAACTGTGATCATGGAATTGCTGAGGCTGGACAAAACCTCTCAAGTTCTTCTCCTCTCCAAAAAAAAGCCTCTGTTGATGAGATGGCCAAAGTTGAAGTGGTAAACAACTGCTACCATCCTAAATTTCAGATATGCAGAATTATTTACCATTGCCATGGCAGTCTTAACACCCTGCATGAAATTATTTTAAGGGCCATTTCCCAGTTACAACTATTATATTCTAATTAACATCATAGAAGCTAATAAGACTTTAAAGACACACACAGTAGCTGTATAAATACCTGATTAGATCTTTCTGTAGGTATCTGGTCATCTGAATTCCCCTTCTCTTTTCTTTGCTTCTCTTCTAGACATTTTGCCAGATGTTGACACATTTCTGCTGTGGATGCTAATTTGCGTTGAAGTTGGTGAGTTTCATCAGTGAGTGAACGGCACAAAACATCACTGGTGGCCTGAGCCTTCTCCCTCTCTGCCAAAGTCTTCTGCAGTCGTAAGATTTCTCTCTCCTTTTCATACGGAGGCTGATTTATCATCTGCTGTATCTCTCCATTTTTCTCCTCTAGCTGCTGATTCAACTTCTGCACTTCCTAAACAGAGGGGGGAGGGGAAGTTATCTAAGAGCAAAATAAAGTCAAAAGCCAAAATCTATCTCAGACTTCAATATTGCAGTAATTCCTTATAGCTCCTGTATTCATTGCAAAGTACTTAAAAACTAGACTAAATCAATTTCATTTCTGTATGATCACAAGACCTTGGAATTGTTGGATCAATCAATGAAGACCTGCTCAGGCAGCCATGCAAGCACTTTCTAATCAGTAGAATGGGGAACAAGCAGCAAAAATTCAGGAAGATTTTATGACTATACAGCAGTAAGAAAAACAAGAAACAAAGTAATTTAAGAATAATAAATGTGGAGACTGAAAAATACTTACAGGTCCTGTACACTAAACTACCAGATAACAGAGATTTTCCTCAAAAGAAAAAAAAGGAACTGTAAAGTAATCAAATCCAGTGAAGTGTATTCACTGCCTGGCACTGTCACAAGGACAAGACAGAGCAACTTTCCCACCTAGGAAAGGATGGGAATGGTAAGGTAAGGTCAAACCAGCAGAAAATAAAATCCATGTGGCAGCAGTGGCTCTAGTTTGGCCACAGCTGCCTCCCAGGTACATGAGGGGGTCTGACACTCCCCTAGGAATCAACTGTGTACCTTGTTTCTGCATCTCCTTGTCCTACTGGAAGTTCTGTGGGATCATCTACACTGCATTAACATCTCTGCAGGTGTTCTGAGAAGGAAGGGGTTTGCTTGGTGACTGGTGCAAACCACCTGTAGTGCCATGCACCTGAAAGGCACTGGTTCTGACCTGGTACACAAACAAGCTGGTTTTTACACACCCTCAAGAAGCAGCAGGTGCTGCTATCAAAACCTCTGCAGCACTGCTCCTCCAGAATCAAGGATCTCTGGAGGCCAGTGCAGACATGAGACAGCTGCAATCCCAGCTCTATCATTCCAGTTCTTAGGACTGCTAATAGAGCTGTAAATCACTAGGAACACTATTTGCCAGCACACTGGCCTCTGTCTTCACACAAATATCTTCTTTATTTGGTTATTATTTAGTGCCAATTATTTCAGCCTTCTGATTGGGCACAGCATTTTATTCTTTCAAGACATGAACATTAACATCTGATATAGATAAACAGCACTTGTTCTTATTACTGGCATTTACATTCTTTAGCTTCATGCTGAATGCTAAACTTCCCCTTTAAAGATATTCAGCATCAGCTTTCAAATATGTTCAGATACCATAGGTTTGTCATCTGTCTGCAAAGTGTCAGTGAGCTCATCTCTTATAACAAATTTCCAAACATGAACTTTTTAATATGTATTTTAGGTGAGTGTCATATATGGAAAATGTTTTGTATAAGCTTTAGGTCAAGAGATTACTTATGACAAAAATGCTTGTTTCAGTTTTAAGTACTGCTGTCAGTTTTGAAATTACTTCATACTTTAAAAATCTTTGAGAATTTCAGACTGAACCTGGGGAAGTCTTAATGACAGTAACCAAAACAGCACTTGTGCTGGATTAGGAGGGATTCAGTTTTCAGGTTTTTTTCTTTCAAGAAAGACATTGATTTCCCTAATCTAGCTCTCCAGAATTGTCAGCTGCTTCTTCGAATATGAATCTGCTACCTCACTGTCAATACAAATTCCATTTTTAAGAGCACTTTAAGCACAACACTTTAACGGAAAAATTCGTGGCATCGGCTGCTTATCTTTGAGAACAAAATCGTTGCATCTAATAAATTCAGCTAGTTTTTTACTGTTTTTCTTTCTCCTTCTGAAAACAGCTGCATGAAGATGCTGAGTTTTTGGGTTAGATTTTATGGTTTGCCTTTCTGAAGCGAACGCAGGGGGCGCTCCCTTTGGACACAAACGGGCCGGTTGTTTCGGGCCCCCGGGGCCGGAGCGGGCATCGCTCGAAGGGGCTCAAACCCTCGTCCCGCTGCCGGCGCTGGCTCGCAGCACCCAGCGGGCGCTCCGGGCGCACCCTCCGCCCGCAGCCGCCCCGGTGCCCGGCTCCCGAGGGAGCAGCGCGGAAAGCGGCGCTGATGCTGCGCCGCTCCCTGCGCGCCCGCGGCTTTACCTGGCTCAGCGCCTCCACTCTCCGCGCCGAGAGCCGCTCGCTGTCCCGCAGCTGCTCGCGGGCCTGCTCCAGCTGCTCCAGCAGGCTCTCCACCAGCGAGCGGGCCGGCTCCGCGCCCGCCGCCGCATCCCCGCCCGGCGCCGCGGGCTGCCGCTGCCGGGCCAGGCTGCCCCGCAGCTCCCGGATCGTCGCCTCCTTGGCCGCCAGCTGCAGCTGGAGGTGCTTCAGCTGCTGCGCGGACTCGTGGTACAAGGTGCAGAGCGCGTTGTACCGAGGCACTTTATTCTTCAAGCTCCTGTTTTCCCGGTGGAGTTTCTCCAGCGTCTCCTCCACCTGCCTGAAGCGGGTCACCAAGGGGTCTGTGCTGCCGGCCTCGCTTACCGAGCACATGGCCGGGGCAGCTCCCTTCTGTTCCTTCTCCAGGGCGAGCAGGAGCCCGGACAGGTGCATAAAACCTCGCAGCGGAGCAGCACCGAGGCAGCGGCTCCGCTCTTCCGCCTTCCCCGCCGGGGGAGGAGGCGGCCGCTCCCTTTAAGGGCTCGCAGGACCCGCCCGTGCCGCCGCTGTTTTCTCCGGCCGGGGCCGGGCCAGGCGGCGCTCCGCCCCCGGGGAGAACCCCGGGCGGGCAGGGAGCTGTTTCCCCCGCGGCCAGAGCGGGACACGGCCCCGGGGGCAGCGCTGCCCGGGGAACCCCGGCAGGGCCGAGCCGGAGAACCGGCACCGGGGGCGGGGGGAGAAACCTGGGGGCGAGGGAGGGGGCGAGCGGGAGGCTCCGAGGGCAGGGGAATCCCGGCCGGGCGAGCGGAACGCGGGCAGCGGCTCCGGGGGGCGCCGCGGGCCAGGAGGGTCCCGGGGGGCTGGCGGGCGGCGCTGGCTCCGGAGCGAAAGCCCCGGAGCGCCGCGTCCTCCCGGCGCCGCTGCGGGAATTCCCGGCTCGGAGCGGGACTTTCCCCGCTGGCGGCGACCCTCGGGCTCTCCGCTCTCCCGCTCCGCCTGCCCGAGCGGCCCCGGCGGCAGCAGGAGGAGAAACGCCAATATCTTCTCTCGGGCAGTCCTCTGTTGGTGTTGTGCCGGCATCGCTGGCGAGGGGATGGCTCCGGACCCAGGCAGAGCAGCACGTCCCCCCTCGCATGCCGCATACCTGGCCAGGTGTACGAGTCTTTCCTTAGCAAAGACCTCGAAGACACCAAAATCCAAAATTCAGATTCATCAAAATCCATATCACCAACCAGTGCGTATACTCTGAGGATGAGTTGATGAGAGCAAAATCAGCTGCTTCACACTGAATAAGCTGCTGCCCACCGGCTGCCCCTGTGGCGGAAAACTTTTTTATTGGCAGCATAGAACAGAGCTTGTTAATCAAGAATATCCCTGTCATGGAGTAACACTGGTGTACATACTCATAGACTATGGAAAGCTGGACTGAAAGAAGGCATCTTTTGGATTGGTTTAGTTATGTCCATGTCGCCTTTCTGATGGAACCAAGTGGGAGGAAAGAGCCTTAAACCAGTACAAGAATAAGTCCCAGGTTACATTTGGTTATGATTTGCAATAGTATTTATTGTATGTATGTGCATGCATGTGTATCATAATGTGTACAACATGGAGCTCCATGTGTGCGTGCAGCCTTAAGGTTCAGCACAATCATGGGAGATTTGTCTGGCCTAAGTGCTTAAAATACAGCAAGTGGAAATCATCACATGCTGCTGGTGGAGGCAGCAAAAAGAAAAGACTTTAGACAACGTGATAAAGAGCAGCCTCCTGTGTTGGCAGGTCTCGGGATAAAAAGAGAGCAAAGACTAATTTGTGTGGAAGAATTTACAGGAATGGGAACATGATGAAAGGAAAAGATGGTGAACTTCAAAGTTGAGACTGTCAGTCACCCTGGTGATGGATAAAGACCTCCTGAAGTTCCTCTTATAATGAATTATCCTGTGATTTAATCAAGTTTTTTGAGGTGGAAAGTCATTACTTTGTCACCTTAATTATTCTAGTAAGAATTGGGAGTAATAAATTCAAAACAGTCTGTTAGCTTAGTTGTTTCTAAAAATATAACTGAATTTTATAGGAGCTTATTGCACAGAGGCCCCTGTGTGACAGAAAAGAGTAAAGCACTTGTTTATGGTACACGTCCCTGGCTTATTTGCTATTTCACCTAATTTTGTAAGTATCAAAGGATTTAGGACAATGAAAAATCTGTGTGGAGGTTGAGGGAATATAATTTTTTAGTTTTTACTTGTACAGAGTGGTATTCTACATCCTTAAGATGCTGATTTTGCCATGAAGAAAGTTCCTGCTTTAAAATACCTGTACTTTTCCCGTCATTTTCATGTACATTAGAAAGAAAAGTGAAAAAACCACATAGGCTTCATGTTACATTTTCATTATTGTGTTGCAGTCAGAGCTAACTGAAGAATTTGGAGCAAGACTGCTTTTGCTGGCTGTCAAAATATTTTGTAGAAATGTATGAAAAAGCCATGGTACTGGAGAATTGTTTGTTTTCCTGCCAATTAATTCGCAAACTACAAGGAAATTTGGCCATCCCATGTTTGCAGATGGGGCAGTGATATCCTCAGACCAAGCATCAGGGAATTTCGTTAGCAGCCAAATCGAATCCTTTATAATATAGCTACCTTTGTAGTATTGTGTTAGTATATTACAATTAAGCATTACTTAATTTTATGGTAAATTATTTAAAATTAAGCATTACTTAATTTTATGGTACTTAATTTTATGGAAAATTCGGTATTACTGGTGCCTTGGATGAAGCCAGCATTCCCCCAGGAAAACACCACTGACTTTAGGGAAATTTGACCTACGTAAGTGCTGAGTAAGAAGCTAATCCCACATGTACTTGGGAATGCCCTTCGATGACTGTTTCCTTTTGTCACTTCTGAAATGCAGAGGAATTCCTGGGAATTCAGTCAAAGAAGCTGCTGCCAAAGAATGAGTCACATCTCGCCATGTTTCTAGCACCTGGCTTTTCCTGGATTGCCTTTCCTGCACCCTTACCCAGATTGCTGATAAAGCAGCTGGTTTGTGCTGTGGCACACTTATTCTTTGGGTTGCACAATCATAATTGGTTATTAAATATTGTATGAACAACAGGTATGCTCTGCATGACAATATAAAGAAAAAAAACTTTATTTTCCATACTGTACTGGTTTCAACATTAAATATAAGGTGAAGTTCACTTTAACTTTTTCTCAGTAGGGTGTTACAGGATAGATGTGATTAAACCCATATGGGAAAAATTTAACCTCAGATTTTGTTAAAGAACTCTTAACAAAGCTGTTTTGAATGAGTAATTATGTGCACATCACAACTTATTATAATGTGTGAGATGCGTGAAAAAAAGGGATTAGATACTGCCTAGAAACAAAAGGTGAAGCTGCTTCTAGGAAAGCAGAAAATAAAAACGGTGAACAGTATGATTAATTAAAGGTTCATAAATGTACATATATTTCAATTTTAATTTTTAAGCATGAGTTATGTGTTTGGGGTAAGGATAATTCATCTAAATGTAGCAGTTCTATTTCTGTAGCATTGGTGAAAGTCTTGTGAGTCGTTTGTATTTAAAAGAGTAATTATCCATGGACAAGAGTATACAACATAATGGAGGGGTCCTGCCGTTTTATAAATAGTGACCTCTGCTCAATTTGTAAGAAATCGTAATTTTTTACTTGTGAACTCTAGATGTCATTCAGCCAATCAAGCTGTGGTTTACCCTATTGTCTTAAGTTACCACTAATTGTCCTGGAGGGTAAGTTGTGACATAATGATACTTAAAAAGAGTTAGAATTGTCTTGAGGTAATTTACCTAAACAGAGCTTATTAGAAATTAATATGTGATCCTCTGGCTGCTGTAGGCTGAAAATAACCCACCAATAAATTCCTTTGCTGTAGATCATGCAGTGCAAGAGGGGGAAAAATAACCTGCAAAATAATCTGATATACTCCCTGCTACATAAGATGCTGCCAGAGAGCTCTGTGTGTGACCAAAAATCTGATTTTCATGCTAAACAACTGAAATGTTGGTGCTTTTGTGACTCATAGATCAACAATAATTATGAGCTGCAGGCATGTTTGTACTTCCATGGGCAGGACTAAACATCCTCTCTATACATCACTGTGTTGGATGTTCTGATGAGACAATGTTCGACATATTTTACTGCTGGAATGACAAACTCACTGAGAGGTTGGCCAGAGGGCTGCCAGGATTCCCAAAACTGGATGAACTCATTGCTGTGATATACATATGTGGCCATCTCTCTGCACTGAGGCTCTGACTTGGAACAAAACATTACTTTTTCAGTCTTGGTTTCTGTTTACACACATCAAAATATTTACTTTAGCTAGGGAAAATAGAGTGGGGTCTATTTATTTCTAATGTAAGATTTTTCCCTGCTTTGTTGGTATGGTGGTGGTGCTGATGGTTTTGGTGGGGGTTTTTTGTTGTTGTTTTTTGGGGGTTTTTTGTTTAGGTATTTTTTTGGTGTGGGGTTTTTGTTTGTTTGTTTTGTTTGGGTTGTTGTTGTTTTGTTTTTGGTTTTTGCATAGTTTGCCTTTTTGGAGGATGTAAAAACCAAAAGTGTTCTGATGCAGAGGGCAGAGTCCCAGGGCCCTGTTCTTAATCAAAGTAAGGCTGAAATAACCAGGATGAGCCATACAAAGACATTGGTCAGATCCATAGCAGTCCCAGCACTTTTCTCTAAGAGGAATTTCTTTCATATTTCTGTGGACTAAGGTGGTTCAGTCTCACCATAAGGGTGTCAGTGGCTAAGCTGGATACACTCTTGTCTGGGTCTGTCACAAGTCCTTGATCTGTTTGTGTCCATGTCAGGGCAAGAGCTTTCTGCTATGCTTTGTTTTTCCTCAATGCTTTGGGTCTTTGCTGCAGTTCACCCTCCTGTGCTTACTGGCTGTATGTTCAGTATTTCAGACCCTGCTTTGGCTTCCCCTGCATTGTCTCACTTCTGCAGTTTCTCTTTGGTGTGCTCATGGCACAGCAGTACCAGTTGCCTCAGTCTGACCTTGCAGACTGGAATTTCTTGCAGTGCTGATGCTGCCCCTGCATCCAAGAAGTTCAAGCAGTTTCCTTGGTCCTTTAGAAAACCTTATCATGATGTCACTGATTTTTGAGCTGTGATTCTATTCACAAGAACATAAAAAGCTCTCTGGTGCATGTAAGTGTTCAGCAAGTGGAGGCTGTCTCCTTACAGGCTTAGGTCACTCCTATTTAGAAGCAAGTTTCTTCTTTGAGCTTGTTCTGGATAAAACCTTAGGGTTTGCCCACATCTATTTATTCCTGTTGAGGAGTACAGGATATGTTGGCTTGTAGTTGTCATAGGACACCTTTTCCTAAATCTGATGATTTGAAATACTGCAGACAATTTTTTTGTGTGTGTTGCAGGAAATACTTTCCTAACTCTTAATATATGATCCATATT